CGAGGCATAATTTTTTTAATGCTTTTCTTAGACAAAATAGCATTCTATAAAGATTTGAACATTTCAAAGTATTATCTATGGTACACTATCTTTCTAAAAAATCATTCAGTAATTTTCGCTCTATAGGATATTCGAATCCATGATGCTCAAGCTTAAACGAAAACTTATATGAGTCTCTCCAGGGGTTGTCCTCCATTTCCTCTTTTTGCGCAGCCGCGCATAGGTCATATAAAGTTCTCCTGGAAAAATGTTCTAGATGTTATAAACCCTACGGAGGGTTTCTCCTGGGGAAATATTCTGAATATTCTAAGCCCTCCTATGGATCAGTGAGATTCACACATGTTGGACAGTAGCGATGATTAAGCAAATGCAGGTGTTGATGAGGATTAGAAATAAATTGCATCCTCAAGCAATAATATACATTTATGAGCTTCTGAATGGAACGCCTCGCGTATCCATGTTTCATAATGAAACTATCTTCTCTATCTCACTGTACCAGTAAGGACTCTCAAGTACAGAGAGACCGTGAGTGGAGATGTTTGTCCATTAATCTTCATGTATGATGATGTCCCGGAAGATGCATTGCGTGAACGTGTCCGCATTAGAACTGGTGTGGTTCACTCTTTTTATGATTACCACTATCGTATAGGCACTGAAGCTGGTGCAATTGTTAAGTGTAATTGGTATTGGACCACTTTTAGAGATTTTTCGCCTTGTTACGCTTACACTTATATATAATGGAGTTTTTTAGTTTTTAATACGAGTTATTAATCAAAGGATTTACATTATAAAATAAAAATATTTTCGGAAAATTCAATTTTAAAATGACAATGTACTTATATTCTTAAAAATAATCTTAATTAAAAATCATTATTATAAATATAATGTACACATTTGCTACCAACATATAATAATCATTTTTGGAGTTGGATTATAATTTAAATCATATTTTCTATTAGTAATTTGTTTGTCATTTAATACAAATATTAAATCATTTATTGATTTGTCATTTAATTTAAATCAATTTATTATGATATATTGTTGTTTTTAGTGTAAATATGTTGTTTTAACTTGTAATAAAGCTAAAAGTAAAACACAACAGTATAAAGAATAGATAACAAATTACAAGTTAGAA